TCTAGCAAGGTTTTACTCAGCATTTAAATTTGAACAGTTGAAAACAAGTTCAGAATAACGTTGCCAACAGAGCCAGGAGGATGTGGCGGAAGGAGGTCTAGACAGAGTCTGAATTTTAGTTCTAGCCTGCCTCTAATTTATTTCGTGACCTTGAGTGAATAACGTAGCAATCCTAGATGTCACTTGTTCATTTTTAAATATGTAAACTATGTATGTTGCTTTAGATGATTTCTATATTCTCATCTGATGTTGTGATCAACAGATTCCAATTTCTTTGCCCAATGATCAGTTGGTATATGTATTTGGCATATAATATGAAAAATTTATGTGCGTGTGTATACTAGAGGATTGACCTTGGTGTTAAACTCACAGCTTCTTGTGCAGGACTGCGCTGTGTGTATTAACTTACTTTACAAATAGCTTTTGAGAACATTGTGCAAGTCACTGTATAATGTTGTAACCAGGAGAAGATAAAGGGGACAATAACAAGTGATTTTGTTACAACCACAGAGAATTATTTGCATTTTTCATCATTAGTTTCTTTACTCTCTCTTACCAGGTGCAAATTGAGCACCTTTCCTTGAAATCTACCACAGGGAGCAATTTCACTAAAGTCATTAGGTCTTAGCTCAGGGACTTGTGATTCTGCTAAAATGGAGAATGTCCTTGAGTCCCAGAGAGACACGGCTGATGAGATTGAACCTATTCAGTGTTCGTCACACAAATTGGACTCCATGATATTCTCAGAAATGGTGAGCTCAATGTGGCAACTTTCAGGTCTTCCTTTGTTAGAAAGATGTGTTAGCTAGGGGAAGGACACCATTGTCAAGTTAAATCATGGTTATGACACGTCATGAAATTGAGGATGGGCAGACTGGAGTTTATGAGTTTCTGGGAGGACTTAAGAGTTCTACGTCTGACAACAAGTAACGTTTATTGAGCATCTCCCATGTTCCAAACTCTGTTCTAAGTGCTTTATCTATAGTATCTCATTCAAGCTTCATGTGGAAATATGAAATTTATATGATCAATTTATAGATGAGGAAACTAAACTGGAGGAAAGTTAAGAAACATGCCCAAGGTAATTAGTGGCAGAACCAAGATTCGAGCCCAGGAAGTTTCAGTTCTGAGCCCATGTTCTAAACTATCACTTCCAGTTATCAGTCTTAGAGCCGAGTCTTCTGCTGTGAAGCATCGGGAAGAAAAACTCTTAAAGAATTAATGCAATTAGGGCCAGCCGGGTGGTGCAGCGGTTAAGTGCACACGGTCTGCTTTGGCGGCCCAGGGTTCGCCAGTTCAGATCCTGGGTGTAGACATGGCACCACTAGGCAAGCCATGCTGTGGTAGGCACCCCACATATAAAGTAGAGGAAGATGGGCACGGACGTTAGCTCAGGGCCAGGCTTCCTCAGCAAAAAGAGGAGGATTGGCAGCAGATGTTAGCTTGGGGCTAATCTTCCTCAACAAAAACCAGAGAATTAATGCAATTAATATGTAGCAGTTCTTTTTTAGGTTTGTCAATCTCAGCATTACTTTGTCTCTTTAAGGAAGAATTAGAATATTAATATCCAAAGAGAACAATCAATTTTCAGCAACTCTTGCTGCAGCCATCTCTGACATCATTAGTGGGAAGGCTCTTTGCTCTTTAGTCGATACTACTTGCTTTAAAAACAAACAAAAACCGCAACGGTTTTGAAGGGCTGTTTCATTATTTTAGAACGAGTCAAATGAAAAGATGTGTCATCATTTTCTCTACCAAAGAATCATATTCCATTTGTTCACGTTTCTTATTACTAATGTGTCTACCAGTCAATAGATTAATGCTGCTGAGGAAGTTTCTATTTCTCTCCTGGTACTGTTACAACAGAAAGAAGCTCAGATAGTTGAAAATGGCATGAACTATCACTAGCAACAATTGCTTTCCCCAATACCTGGCTAAATGTACAAAAAAGAATAAATTAAACTGGTTCGCTTCTAACGGCATGCCTATTCCATTGCTATAAATTGGTTACATTGTTTGTAATTCTAAAAGTGAAAGAGAGAGTAATAACAAATTCCCAATTAATGGAGAGAGGCAGACCCGTAGGAAACCACGTCATTTGACCAATGATCTCTTCATTGGAGGCAAAATAATCTCTTTGGCTTTCATGCACTGTAGAAGTTACATTTTTCCTTACTTCAACCAAAAGCTGCATATCACCAGGGATGATCATTTAATTTCACATTTTATTAAAACACTTAATGCAAAGCCATGTTATAACTGAAGGCAAAGCACAGAGCCTGGTGTAAGAAGCTCTTCTTCAGAACATAGTAATGAGAGAATTACCACATTAATCTATGTATAAAGGCCCTTTGGAGATTTTCATGCCTCCTGTGGTTTCATTTTGCATGGAAATGTGGAGTGAGCAGAGCTTCAAACAAAGTTATTCATCGTTAAACATTTCCCTTTTACAGGTACCACTCGGTCAAGACGCTGCTTCCGTGGCAACATGTGATGTGACACTTTGTTCCAGCTGAGTTCTCCATAGCATCCGCCGGCAGTGCCACACCTTGATTCAGGGCATGCAGAGCTGTCACTCAGCCAATAAATATATCCTGGGCAAACTCAGCCTTCTCTGCTACACAAAGGGACATTCTCCAAGTAGCAACTCCATTATCTGTCTGATCATTGTATCCAACTGATAGATGCTGGCAAATCAAAAGAACTCTGGGTAGCGTTCTTGTAATGCTATTTATAAATGGCAACCATCCAGCCTGGAATCTCACTAGCCTGCTCAACTCTCTCTGAAGTTTCCAAAAGGGGAGGAAAGATCAGTGGTGAGACTAAAATTTATGTTGATAAATTATGTGTCTGCCCCCAGGACTCTTGCCCTGTTTTCTCTGGTTCCAGAAATCACCCAAGCAGATAATGAAGTGAGTTGCAGTAAGATGGAGCCTAGTGGGTGAGGAGACGGAGCAGCGTTCATCTGGAGCACCCTCTGTATTTCCCTAGTCCTGACAGATGCCTTTAGTCGACCAAGGTTTCAGCACAAAACTTCTGTTATCAAGTCAACAGTCAAGGGTGGTTAAATATAACGAATATGAGGGGCCGGCCCCATGGCCTAGTTGTTAAGTTTGGCACACTCTGCTTGGGTGGCTCAGGTTCGGTTCCCCCATGTGGACCTACACCACTCTTTAGCAGCCATGCCGTGGCAGTGACCCACATACAAAATAGAGGAGAATAGGCACAGATGTTAGCTCAGGGTGAATCTTCCTCAGCCAAAAAACATATATATGTATGAGGAACATCAGAAGTTCGATAGGTGCTACAAAAGAAAAAAAAGAAGTTTTAGGGCTATGGTGCTAGGAAAGCTTTAAACATCTTTGTAATAGGCTAGAGTACTGTCTCCTTAGTAACAAAAGACAGTAGATTTTATATCAGCTAAAGCCAAATGCAGTCCATGCCTGTTACCAAATGGTTCTCGTTGCTATTCAAATGATCACCAAGGAGTTCAAGGCCTGGGGAGCCATTTGAAACAGCCTTGGAAAATGTGTTGAAAGTATTGCCTCAAACCATTTTCCCTTGGTGCTTGTTCTTTATCCTTGTGCTCTAACACACAGTACATGATAAAATAGATCCTGTATATTTATAGTGTGTCCAGAAAATGCCAAAGTGCTTAAGGCTCTGACATTGTTTTCATTAGAGATGGATCCTTTAGGGAATGTAAATGCCAACGTTTCAAATTTGCTATGGGTGGAAAATCCAAATGATGCCAGCTTTTAAAAATATTTTATATTGTGTGAAGCTCTGGACCAGCTGCTTGTGACTAGAATGGAGAAAGGCTTTTGTGTAAAATGCAAACAAAAGCGCCCCCAGCTCCTAACAGGGATATTGGTGGTCATACTAGTCAAGACCCAGAAACCTGATTATTCGTCTAATCTCATCTTTCTTCAACCTCACCAATGCTAGTCAGTAAACCCAAGGTAGACAAAATAGATCTAAATGTTAGTAGCCTTTAAAATTGCAATACTGCTCCTGCCTTCTGTTCCAGTCCATCAGTTCCCTCTCCTCATCCATTGCATGTATCACAGGAATCGTGCTCCTTTATAGGTGTTCTTTTGAAGCCCTTAGTGCGTAGAGGGCCACAGCTTCTATGCTGCTGAAAAGTACCAGGCACTGCCTGCCCTTGTGGCTGCCCTTTGCTTTTCACTTGGAAACAATCACATCAAATCACAATGAGAGCAGGCCAGCCTTTCTGTTTTTGCACCCTCCGGTTCCTCTATCAAATAGACATTATAAGAATCCAAGCCAATGCTTTTCAAATCATCCCCTGACTGCCTGTGAAATCAGTCTTCTGAGGTTTTCACACCGAATGAGAAGCTTAGAGTCATCACCCATTCCAGGTAGGAGGCCAGATGACTGGATAAACACACTCAAGCCTAATTTTTGTATGCAGTGATGGCAGAACACCCCCTTGTGATTTTTCTTTGAGCAAAGAAGATGTAGTTGTCCTTTTCTCTGCATGGCGATAATAGAAGGATGATAATACCTACTTCCAGTCATGGAAGAAGATGAGGACACACATAATAATGACATCTCCTTAGCCACAGTATTAGTGTTTCTGTTGTCTTCAATAAACATGTATTTATCACATAGTTCGTGCCAGATACTGTGTCAGATACTGAAAACACAAAGAGGAATACGACACACTTCTTGTTGTTCAAGGGGCTCACAGTATAACAAGGGAGCTAGATTCATAAACACATGAGACAATGCCGCATTATGAGAGCTTGATGATGGCAGCCATGCAGAGGGCATTATTAGGAGGACGTACCCAGAGTCTCCGACTCAAAACTGGGAGGTTCAGAAAAAGTTTCTTGAGGGCAAAACCATCATGAACAAGGTTAATCGAAGAAGGGATTTAGATTGGGGAAAAGTAACTGGAGTGGAGATGGGAAGGAGGGGTGGAGTAATACAACAAGGAGGAGAAGAGCTCCAAGGGGAGGAAACATAAGTGAGAGATTAAGTGACATGTTTTGGAAACATTGAATGGTTGGGCCTGGGTGATTATAGAGCACCATTACAGGCCAGGATGCCAGGCCAGCAGAGAGCTGACCCTGAAGGGCTCTGGAAGCCTTGATGCGAAAGAAGTTGCATGCTGATCTGAAGGTTATAAGAAGCCAGTGAAGAATTTCATCTGGAGGAGTAAGATGATCTTATTTATTTTAAAAGATCACACTGCCCTTGAAGTGGACGGTGGACCAACTATAGCGAGATTTGGAGGTGAGTTGGGGACAAATAGTGAAGGAAATCATATATGACCTTTAAAGATAAATATACCTTTGACCCGCCCCCCTTTTGTCTATTAGATAGTTTAGTATTTTCAAATTTGTACATACATGTTTTATTAAAAAATGCATTCACACTATCATTAATATTTTTAGAAATATCTTTTTTTCCCCCAGAAAGTGAAAAAATTTAAGCCGGATAGGAAAGAAGATTTTGCATAAGATCCTCAGTCTTCCTAATAAAATGATTGCTTCTGCAGCCCTAGAAAAACGAACTCTCTGAACTTAATGTGGAGGAATTGATTCAGTATCCTGCATCTTCCGGGTCCAGGAGGCACTTTGAGATATGTATATGCCAAGTCCAATTAAGTTGATAGATCAGACGGTACTGGTTTCTTGATCAACAGGTGCTGAGTTTACTGTCTAGATCTTAATCCAATTGGGAACATTTTTCTTTTTCCCTGAAATCCTAGCTAACATTGGTAGCTGTATTAAAAGAATCATGAAAGTCGTTTGTGCCTACGTAATCAGCAAACTTGACCATTTAAAAGTTCGTTCAGTGACTCTGGCTTTCTCATGTGGCAAACCTTGATTGATTTGTTGAGTGTCCCGAATTGATCATCAGAACGATATCAGGTTGCTTTTTTATATCAAGTACACATGGCCTAAGTTTATAGTTTTTATTTCTAGAGCTATATCATCAAATGCAAAATTCATCAGTCGACTTAAATATGGTGGTGGTAGTAGACATTTGTTATTTTCTGGTTAGTCAGTACATGATTTCCTCTTCCTAATAGCATCTCCCTTTCCTCTGGGGAACTTACCTTTTCCTCCTTGTCGTCTTGGAAGGCCAGTGATTGAGGTGCCCTTTCTTCTTGCTCAGGAAGCTGGCAGGACTTGGGTTGCTCTTTATGATAGATCTCTCTTGCTGCTCTGTTGCGGCAGAAGGGGTACATTTGTGATCTCATCTGAGCCAATCAGTTCTCCCTCCCACCATTTTGGATCCCCAGTAGAGGGTCAGACTGATGGAAGGAATGGCTGGAGAAGAATCATTCCAGCGCTGGTATTAGGTAGCACCGTGGTACTCTTCCCACTTCCAATACTCTCTCTAGCACCCTCATTCTCATCCATGCCAAGCCAGTCATTTAATATCCCCTTTCAATCTCTGAGCCCCCTCATATTATTCTGATCAGTTCACATTTTGCTTAGGTAAGCTGTATGCATTTTCTATTGCTTGGCATCAAAGAATCCTAACTGATTGAATGGTATTAGATAATTTGCTTTTCACAGAAGCTGAAGTACATTGCTCATGTCATGACGCACAAGCTCTAACAATATGCCTATGAAATATAGAGGATCCCGGGGGTATTAACGCCATTTTATAACAGAGGCAGCTAAAGCACTAAGAAATTCAGTATTTGGTTTATGTCACGGAGCTTATCAGAAGCAAAATTAAGAATAGAGAGCTGTTGGCTTCTAACTCTGCTAATAATTAGCAGTGTGACCTGGAGTAAGTTATTTAACCTCTTTTGCCTTCAGTTTCTTCAACTGTAAAATTAGAGGATTGGGTCAGATGATCTCTAAGACCCCTCCACCTCTAAATCTGTTTGGTTTTTTTCATCTGAGGCCCTTTTCTGGAGACTTCTGCTCCATGGTTGGAGACCCTAATCTTTGAACAGAATCCATCAGTAGCTGAGATATAGCTCTTAACAAAATATCTTTTAATCATCTGTGAAAGCAAAATATGATAACAGATTTCTCTTTGCATTTCCAGAGGCTCTGCGACTGTCTCTCCCTAATATCAAAGTTTTCCTTTTCTTTCAAATAGAAATTTCGAGACACCCTAAATGTGTATTGTCAATGGAAAAACCAGTAAAATTATCAGAGCCCAAACTGAGCCTTTTGGGCTTTTCCTAGTGATATATTTGTATATTTAAAGTAGTTAAACATAGTGGGAGACAAAAATACCTTGAGGTCGATGTTTCACTAATGTTATAGTCAGCATCATAATTTTTAATCTCAACTTTGTGAGTATATTTGTTTGTCTGTTTCTTCATAATATCTAACCCCTGACTTTAAAGAGAATATTTTCCAAAAAGGAAATCCCATGCTGTTAATTTGTACATACCATGATTACGATAGTCTATTTTTCTGCTCTCTACAAGAAAAAGGAAGCAAATGATAAAAATAAGTGAAGTAACATTACAAAATGGGAATATTTAATTGGAAGAATTGTTATCCACTGTTTGATCATCTATTTCACTCATAAAATGATGAAAGCACAAATGAAAGTTTTCGAAATGTTTTTTTATATCAAATTCCTCTAGTGTTTTGAAGCACTTGGCTGAGTGGCTTCTAATGTTAAATGAAATAACGTCATGAACTGGTTTACTCATTCTTGATGATAATACTCAGAAAAGTTTAAGCAAATACTTTGTAAGTAAAAAAGTACTGAATTATACTTAAAAGCTTATATTTTTTTAAAACTCAGCCTAAGCTATATGTCACTTTTTATAATTAATAGTTAATAGTTTTCATATATTATTATTTTGAGTTTGTTGTTTCAGAAAAAGCACAATATGTATATTCTTGTGTACGTGTACATATGTGTATACACATACATTCATCCGTGCACCTAGTGTGACACTAGGCACTATGAGAATAAGTTAATCATGATGATAAGCAATTAATCATTTGAAGAATACAGGTGTAACTGGCCACCAATGCCCACCATGAGACAATTATTAAAATTTCAGAAAGAGTGATTTAAAGGAAGCAAACAATGATTGCTTATAGCTTTTCACACCTAATTCTAGAAAATAAAAACAGTTTACATGTGTTCTGTATCAATTTTAGTTCGTCTCAGATAGCAGAAAGCCCAAATCCCAAATTTCCCTAATGGGGGAATAAAAATTTAGCTGTTAACAAAACTGAACATTCTAGATGTAAATGGAACTAAAGGTGAAGCTTTGTCCAAGGGTTATAGCTCACAGGATGTAATCTGGACTAGTTTCTCCTTCCTCGTTTCTTGGTGTTGCTTTGCTGGTTGAATCATGGTTTCAAGAGGCTTACCAGTAATTCTGAATTCACATGCTTATAGATTAAGAAGCAAAGGAGATAAACATGAATCTCTTCCAGAAGACCCAGGAAAAATACCATTGCGACCTGATGGCTCTGATTGGGTCACATATTCAAGCATGTAAAGGTATGAGTGGCAAGACTTGGATCACGTGCCTTCTCCCAGAGCTAGCAGAGTATTAACTCCAAAGAAAGTGCACAAATTCGGGGAGAGGTGGACCTCCAGGGGAAAGTAACAAAAGAGTGAACACAAGTTAGACAAGGAGGAGAAAAATTCCACCCATTCTCTCACCATTATGTCATTCCTCTCCTCATGATAATATAGTGGTTCCAAAACTCAGTCCTCAGCATACTATTTTGGGTTCTCCTCTCTCATTTGAGGAACTCATTCACTCTCGGTGCTCAGGTATTGACTTTTGACTAAACTTGTAAGTTTAGCTCTGTAGTCTACTTTGTTGTTCTGAGTTCATTGTTTGCTCATGAATTTTTCAAATTCACTCCCACACTGGGGTCTTGAAAGTGGGCACATAAGCCTGAGAGTGTGAAGAAAACATTTCACAGGGTACTTCGAGTAGAGGGTTCTAAGGGTTTTAATTTATAGATTCTCAACTTCCATATACTTTTCCCAAAAATGAGGCTGCCTGAGAACAGGCTTGTGTTCATACTGCCCTTTCCCCACTTCAGAAAAGAAAAGGAAACATCATCCTCTCCAAATTGTACTAGAGTGGTTAGTTCTGGGCTTTGTTTTGTTTCAAAGATTGGCACCTGAGCTAACATCTGTTGCCGATCTTTTTTTTTTTCTTCTCCTCCCCAAAGCCCCCCAGGACATAGTTGTATATTCTGGTTGTGAGTGCCTCTGGTTGTGGCATGTGGGATGCTGCCTCAGCGTGGCCTGAAGAACGGTACCTTGTCAGCGCCCAGGACCCAAACCGGTGAAACCCTGGGCCGCCCAAGCAGAGTGTGCGAAAACCACTCGGCCAGGGGCCAGCCCTCCAGTTGTAGGTTATTAAAACTTCCTAGACATCAGAATAGTCATAATTTGAAATGCTGGTTTCAAAGATACCTCCATTATTGATTAATTAAGATATCCTAAACCTACACAGCTTTCCGTCCTTCCCTTTTCCTCATGTCTGTTAAGGCAGAGGTTGTTCAGAATTCAGAAAAAACAAAGGAGTATAGGTCATGATGTTGACTTTTCAAAATATAACTGGAATGCTTGCTGGGGTTCCCTGCATTTTGCAAGAACACATTAGATTACCATTGATAAAATATTTACATGACTTTTTCTCAAATTCTGTGAACGTTATTTAATAAAGTAGTTAAAATCCATTTTAAATAAAATTATAACGTTATTTAATAAAGTAGTCAAACCTATTTTTACCAAAACATGAAATATTTATTTATTAGAATAAATTTTCATCATGTTTTACCCTACTAAATCTAATTTTCTCCTTCCGAAAAACAATAAAAAAGTAAATGTGTTTGAACTCACTTTGTAAAATTTTCAAAGCAACTTACAATGGGTCAGAGGCACATCATTTTTTAAAAATTGTAAGGAATTATTATATGAGTTAAAATATTCAAAAGCTGCTTCCCCAAAATGTCAGGAAATGAGTCTGGAAGCCATGGGTAGGTTTAGCTACCTATGAATGTGGGGCTGGCACACGCTGGTCTAGACCGAGTTCGAAAGTAACACCTAGACTTCTTTTTTTCTGCTTAGTGTCCAGGACTTCTGTGTGTCCAGAACTCCCTTCTGCAGCATGTGACAAAAACTGCCCTCCAACTTTGCTGACTTTGTCAGGTAGTCCTTTTTATCAAAAATAACACACACGCCAGTTCCAAGTGGGTCTTGCTTTCTGTTAGAGTTAGAAAGTCAAAGTGAGATTATGTGTGAAAATACTATTTTCATCAAATAATAGGTTTGGATTTTAATAAGAAGAAACACTTTCTAGAACAAATGCGACCACATGGAGAAATTCCATTGACTGTGGTAGCTCAAGGAGTAAAGAATTTGGGGGTTTCACTTTATAGTATCTTTTAAGTTGTTTTATCTATGTGGGCAGGAAGCTCTCTTGAGAGATAGTAAATGACCATTACATATGAACTATAAAAGACTTAGACCTATTATTGAAATAATAATAGGCAAAAATACAAGTAAATTTTGTTGAATGTAAAGTTGTTGTGAATTTAATATGGTCTTCAAAAAAAGGTCGCCAAATATATACCTAGTTATTTTTAAATAGATGGAACCCACAGACTCAAAAAGATTACTTCTATCCTTTCTAAGAAACAAATAAATCTTGAGGTTGGAACCCTCAAGAATGGGATCAGTGCCTTAGAAAAGAGGACCCAGAGAGATCCCTACCCACCTCTGCCATGTGAGGATTCAACCAGAAGTCTGCAGCCTGAAAGAGGGCCCTCACGTGACTGTGCTGACATCCTGGTCTCACCCAGCCTCCATAACTGTGAGAAATAAATTTCGATTGTTCGTAAGATACCCATTCTGTTGTGTTTTGTCACAGCAGCCCAAACAGACTAACACAGTTTAACTTCAGGTATTTAACTTTCTATAGGACATATTATTTATCTTAGCGGTAAGCATATCTGTGGAGAGAACTTTCTGAAGCATCAGGCAACAAGCTGGTTTCTTTGCCCAGCATAAGGTTATCAACTTCCTTCTAACTATTCTGTATCAGAGAAATGTGAATGAGACCCTATACTGAGACCCAAGATATTTTCAATGATCCAGATGTCTGCAATGACATTGTTAAGACCTCAGGATATTTAACTGAACTTAAAAAACTGTCTGAATATTTTGGCACCATGCAAACACCCACACAAAGAGTGTAGGTGAACAGGTGTGCCCATGCATACTCAATAGCGTATTGTCTGAGTGGGCTCGTCTGAAAGGCACATCTCTTCTCATAAGTATAGCTATGACAGAAAGCACTTCAAGTCTTTTCTCTCAGGCTATCATAGAAGAGCAAGTAGTTATTTTCTATTTGGATTTGAAGGTAATGAGAGTTTTTATTAATCCTAGTCAGAAACTGCATCTTAAAAATAAAATTTCCTTTTAGACTAAAAAAAAGCCCAAAGTCCCCCACCCTCCTAAAACAAAAACCAGCTGTTCTTTGAAAAGCAGTATTCTGTTGATAGACTCAGTCCCTACAAGTCCACTTGCTATAAGCAACACGGGGAAGCCACCTAGGAAAGGTGGCCTGCTCTCCACTTGACTGATCATATTTCTTTCAGCATCCTTAGTTCCACCATTAAATCATAAGAGAAATAAAATAGTGATGCAACGCATACTCTGGGCGGCGTTAGTAAAACGTGAGAATTAAATGAGAACCAAGAGTATTTGGAAGTAACTAGAGTTCCACCCCTGACTCACATCCAGTCAACATAAGTTCCACGTGGATTTGACATTTAAAGATAAAAAATGAAGTTGCAAAACCGTTTCCTACAAGAAAGTGTAGGTGCTTACTTACATAGTTCTGGGGGGCCGATCATCGTAAGCACACAGAAAAGGGAGAAATCATAGCGAAAAAGAGCGATAGAGGTAAGTACCTTAAGTACACACAGGTGTGCATGCTCACACACATGCACACACACAACTATTTCTGGGTCTTAAAAAGCCATTAAAAAAGGCAAAGAGAAGCTTAGAAATATATATCGCAATTGCGATATATAATTGCAAATAAATATGTAATTGCAAATTGGCAATATATTCATATTCCCAATTATAAATAGCTTGTCTTGGCCAATGGAAATAAGACAAACATCTCTAAAACTGGGCAACTCCTAAACAGGAAATGAAATGACCAATTGAGAGCAACATATTATAGTATTACTAGTAACTCAATTGAAGGCAAAAGAGATATGAACTTTTACATAAACACTAGCAAAAATGGCCCAAAAAGATTTTCATTGTTAGTATGAAAGGTGTATATTTTCATGAGCTAGTGAGCAACTGAGCAATGTGCTCTTTGCCTTACACGTGTGCAAACCCCAGGGCACAGCCCTTCCACGTCCATGAATGTATCATAAAGAAGGACTCATAGATGTGTGCCAGTATAGAAATGTAAAGCAAAATGCTGCTGACAATTCTGAAAGATTAGAATTGAACAAACTGATCAAAAATAAGGTTTTTGATATCCATATCGACCTCTATGTTGTTATTTAAAACTATGTTAAGTAACCTTTAATTACTTGTTTTTATTTGTTTCAAGTTATTTGGTGCACATTATTGCTAGATATTTTTTTAAAAGACTGACAAATATATTTGATCCTAATAGCAGTTCTGTGAGGTGAGGCCGTTCCTATAATCATCCTTATTTTGCAGATGAGAAAACTGATGCCCTGAGCGATGATTGACAGGCTCAAGGTCATACAACCAGTACATGGGAGATCTGGTCTGCCTGACCACGCACTATTGTCTGAACTTCTATCAATATTTTGGCTAGTAGCATGTTTTAATTCTCAGGATTACAATATTCAAGTTAGGTCGGCACAATGTAATAAACTGCATTTCTTCCAAATTGTGTTCTCCTTCTGATCAAGAGCTGAATTTCAGTACATATCATTCTATGAGGGTGCAGGGAGAAGAAAATCAGCCTTGGAAATACTCCACTGTAAAGCCATTTTGAAGAATATGCAGACCCCTTTTTATATTATCCTTGCACAGTGCTCATTCAGTATAAGTCTCTTTTCTCTGAATGCTTTTGTGCTATATACATATAAAGCCATCCGTTTCAGTACACTCATAGTATGAATATATATACATATTCCCCAACCCCCGTGCTTTGAGTGCTATCTTATGCTCTGAGCCAAAGAATTAGAATAGCTAGGGCAGACTGTTTTGTACATTCTTGGCCAATGAGTTTTAGTGCAAATTCTCTCAGCCAGTAACCCTTCTAAAGTGCTGTTCAGAACTGACTGTTCTGTACTATGTACTATTTGTTTTGTCCTGACCTCAATTTCTGCCGTGTGTTTTATCTTTGACTAGGAGTTTTGACACACCTAAAGCCGATAAAGGATGAGCAAATGTTAGTGGCCCTGCCCCAAAGCAACAGAAGATGAGCATCTCTGTGAATATTAAAATGAAAGGACATGTGTGGGAACTGGGTGGGGGCGTAGGTGGCATGGAGCATAGCTCAAAGCAGAGAAAACAGATGGCAAAGACCACCAGACAGTGAAGGATTGATGGTAATTCATTGACATTATGAAGGGCAGCATAAACATCACTGCCACCTGTGAAGCTTAACCAAAATTGGATGGACGGTGAAGGGAGGGTTATGACTTCAGGGAGATTGAGAGGAAAGGAAAAGCAGTTGTTGATGTAAGATGACTAAAGCACACACTGATTCAGGTACTCTTCCATTTCCAATCTCCATTTCCTTGATTGAATCCACTCCCCTTTCCCTTATTTCCAATATTGTATTGGGTTCTCAGTATTGTGAAGGGGGAATCCAACTCAAATATTTTAATCACCTCGAATTTAGATACCTCTTAATGTTTTAAGAGCCTAAAGATAAAGATCTAGGGCCACCCCTGGTGGCTTAGTGGTTAAATTCAGCATGCTCCATTTCAGGAGCCCAGGCCTGGTTCCCAGGAGCAGACCTACACTATTTGTCTGTCACTGGCCATGCCGTGGTGGTGGCTCACGTACAAAAAGAGGGAGATTGGCAGCAGATGTTAGCTCAGGGTAAATGTTCCTCAGCAAAAAAAAAAATGGGAGAGAGAAAGAAAAAGAAAAAAGATCTAGTTTTAGTACAGACTTGCCTCCATTACTGATCAAGCTAATGTCTATAATCAAACTTTTGATCTCCATTTGGTTACACTCCACAGGGTAAATACAAAGAACGGTTTCAAGAGGATGTGATCTTTCTCCAGGACAATGCTTCCCAAACTTGTGTTCCTCCAAACCAGTCCCGCAAAGTGTTTTGAAAGACAAATGGAAAAGTTTCCTCTGGCTGAAAAAAGTTTAGGAAAAATTGGATTAAATAAAATTTCTCAGTGTTTTTTACTTCTGGATTGCTCAACAACTTATATATGCAAATGTATCTTAGGCATTTCCAAAAGTGGGCTGTATTACGATGCTGCATTTCTCAAAGAGAATTGGCCTTGAGAACCCTCTTTTACGGAGCCTATGTCACCATCTCGTGGAACTGGGGCTCTGCAGGACACACGTAGGGGATGCTGCTGGGGGGCATCATCCAACAAACTTCTGATTTGGGTTCTTTCTGTTGCCTCATTTTTCTTTTTTTGCATTTCCCACTTACTTTTTCATGGCAAACTATTAGTAGAAGAACCCTGCCAGGTGGTAGTTTATCTGTTTAAAAATTTTCCATGTAATTTGAGTAAAAGTGTCATGGATTTTTTTTAAAGATTGTTTTTCCATTATAAAACAATATATGCTGATCACAGAAAAGATTCTAATGTGAGAATAGTATAGACGATTATGAACATACATAATCTCACACCTACAGAAAACGTTTGCATTTTAGTTTAATTTCTTCTATTTTTAAAAATTCCTATCTGATGTTGTAAAAGTCATAATTATAATCATGCTATATAATAATTTTGTATCTTTATTTCAACTTTACATCATATTATTATCAGATTTTAGTTAGATTACAAACTCTGTGCAAACTTGATAGAATAAGATCCAAATTATTTACTTAAGCCCATCGGGCCCTCAATGTCTTGTCTCCTGTTTGCAGCTCCGGTGGAGGATCCTAACCTTCTTCTTTTTAATGACCCTTTGGGCCCACCATGTCCTTGCTAGTTCCCATTTCAGAGCTTTAATGCTAGACTCTGTACACAGCATATTTGCTATTCTTAAGAAGTGAAATTCTGGTATTTTTCTTAGTATTACACTGTCATTGTACCAATTTTAAAAAACCTAAAATTGGATTCATTGATTTTTGGAGATCAAGACTAAAACTTCAGTTACCTAATTTACATGAAAAGAAGACAAAGCTCAGTGGGTACATCTGGAGTGGTGGACGCCTATAGGTGACCATGGATGGTGGCATTACAGAGCTTCTATTGCAACAATAATTTGCACTTCAAAGATATCTTCGGTTCAAAGATATTTCAAATGAGTGGAATATAAAGATGAGAGTATTGATGTTGATTCAGGCAGTTTTATCTATACAAGATAAAACTCAAGAAATGACAAGCTACAGGTGTTTTTTTAAGCAAAACCTGCAATTTCTGTTTATGATATTAATTAAAAATTATTTTTAATTAATTTAATTTTAATTTAGTATTATTAAATATAAATTTAATTTAATAAATAATTTTGTTTATTGAAATTATTAATATACAATTAATAATTAATAATTAATAAAAACACTACAGTTTCTTCAAAAATACCAAAATAAACATATAAAAGGGTTTTCAAAAGATCTCTTCAAAGATTTCTGATCGGAGATGGGATTATAAGAAGAGTGAGAAGAAAGTATTTGTAGTTAGCACAAAATCCCTGCTCACCGTCTTCTTCACTACTGGACAGACAGAATACACTTGGTTAAAAATATGCTTATTATGACCTTTGCTACAAAATGATGACAGCATTAATAAACTTTCTTTTTTAGGAAATATGCTAAACAGTGCTACCTTTGAAATTTTAAGAATTAATTAAAATTTTGTCATTTTGTGGAATGTTTAGTTTGTTTTTAAGCAATAATTTTCTTCTGACAATTCCAGCTAATATTTTGTATTATAATGATCATGCTTGTTTGACCTCTGAATTTATGAATGTGTGGGTTAATTGATGTCATAATTTATTCATACATCTTTAGGTTTGAAATTATTAAATATTTAGCTTCATGGATTTGTATTTTGTGAAATCTGAACTTATTTATTTATTTTTTTGCAAAATACCAGTAGGTCAGTATTTTGTAAAATAAATGATGAAATATCAGTAAGTCCTTTTTTTTTTTTTTGAGAAAGATTAGCCCTTAGCTAAAATCTGCTGCTAATCCTCCTGTTCTTTTTTTTTTTTTTTTGCTGAGGAAGACTGGCCCTGAGCTAACATCCATGCTCATCTTCCTCTACTTTATATATGGGATGCCTGTCACAGCATGGCTTGCCAAGCAGTGCCTAGGTCCGCACCCAGGATCCGAACTGGCAAACCCCAGGCCATCGAAGTGGAACATGTGAACTTAACCTCTGTGCCGCCAGGCTGGCCCCTATTAGTATGTCCTTCTGTTTTCAGTACTGCATTCCCTAATCACTGAATCAATTGGATGGCTTATGAAATGTCACCATCTCGGAAAGGCCTTTCTCATGACTCTGGCTGAACAGTCGACTCCAAACTTCCCCATCAGGCCCTCTTAGTACCTCCCACTGCATAATTTTCCTACCACTTAGACAGGGATCTGAGATTATATTATTTATTTTTTAATCTGTTTATTGCACGTCTTTTCTCAAAGGAATATAAGCTCTCTGGGGGTAGGAATTTTTCTGTTCGTGGCCCCAGTGCCTGAAAAAATGTCTTGTATACCGTAAGTGATTAATAAATATTTGTTAAGTGAATGTGGTAATAAGTGAATGGAATAGTTGCTTATTCCAGATTTTGAATATATAATAATAATAATGGTGACTATATAAATTGCTACAATTTGAGGATTATTAGTATTGATGCTGAGATGAATATCTTTGTTATTTTTAAATTTGGTATTATTTATTTAAGATTCAATCTCATTTTTTAAAATGACTGAGTCAAAGATAATGAATATTCTAAAGAGACTAGAAATCCATTTAAAAAATGCTCTTCAGGAAGATTATGGTAATTTACAATTCTACCAATGATTCATTCTCCCTGTACCGTTTGACTTTCAAACTTCTGTTCGTAGCCTCTGTCTCCAACACTACTGGCCTCCCTCTGCTGTCTTTCTTTCAAATGATGGTATTAGATTTGTTTTTCCCTGCTAAAAGCCACAATGCCCCTTGCTACAGAAGAAAAGATTTGCGAAAACAACTTGAAGCACCGTTGTTATAGTCCTTAGGAGTTCTCCATAAAATTTGTCATGGTAAATGATCTTAAACATTAAAAAAAAAATTTACTAAAAATTCATCAGTTTCTTCAGATACGCCCTTGCAACCATTCCCATAAACAAAAAAAAACTAGATGCCTTTCATAGGATAGACTCAGAGTTTGTGTTTTCATCTAGTTTATACACTAGCACATTGTTTTATGGTAATTTATGTGATGTCTAACATTTTGAATTTTGCCAATATACAAAAAAAACAATTCTCTTTAGCCTTTGTTAACAAGTTGCTTGTCAAAATCTGTATGTGCGTATGACCATGGAGGCAAGTTTTTTTCTTTCTTCTTCATTTTTTTTAATACATGCTTTTATATTTTCTACGGCTAATTAATGTGGAGTGCTGTGCATACATCTGAAAGGCAGCACCTTCACTCTCAGGCTTTCATCGCAGACATCTTATAATAATTACTGCATAAATAAATTCGTAACACCAAGCAGTTAGAAGCAGTCTAATTGCAACAATTAATTTGTAGACTTACCTAATTAAATTTCCCTAGCCGGAAATGTGTTGTCTGCATACATCAAAGTTTACAAAGGAGAGGTAACAGAGCAGAATAAAAAATGACAGCATCCCTAATAGAGTCCCTCGAGAGGAACTTCTAAGGTTAAAAAAAAAATCTATCAATGCTGAACAAGAAAATACGCCGTTCGGCTGAAATGATGGATGATTCTGCTAACCTTCATGCAAAATGATCCTGACACATATTATTATCAAAATAGAAGCGAGCATATCGTTGTCTACCTTATTGCTTTTATAAAGTGGATGAAATGGTTTGGGAGTCTGAAAACTCTTTTCTATGTGGTACTTGGGAACATTAAGACGAGCCTGATCTCTTTCTTCCTTTTGAGACTTCTATAGCTACTTGTTTAGCTGCTTTCTTGCCTTCTTGTAAGAGTTGAGTAATTGCACAACGGCGCGCTGAGGAGAGAAACTGCATAGCATTCGTCTTTGGCTCACACAAAAGTGCTTGCCCTGCCACTGAGGGACACCGGAAGATTCAAGTTTCCCAGCCTTGTGTGATATATACAAGAACAAACGATAATTATCATGTCATATTATTTTTAAAAAGAGAGAAAGGAAAATAATTTAGTGGCTAAAAGGAAATAATATGGATCAGTTTAACTGGGATATAGTACTATCAAAAGTTTTTCAGGAAGTCTTTTTTTTTTTTGGCAAAAGTCTCTGCTTTTGATTTTCTTATATCATGCACCTTGGTAGCTAATGCTCCTTTTAATCTCCTCGGTATTTATGAACATGTAGGGAATGCTTACTTCAATCTTGTATTACAACTATTTTACGTACATATCGCCACCCTTACTGAACTGTAAGTGCCTGTCTAGCCCTGCTTCCCCACCACTGCCTGTCTCTACCTCCCACGGTCCCCGTCCACACTCTCAGTCCATGGCTGGCCATGACTGCCGGCTGCTGTATAAATGGCCTGCCCTGTGTGAGCTTCTGAGCCAATCTGGAAGAGGGCAGGCTGAGTATGAGGGGCCCCAGATCTCATCTGTACCCTGCCGGTGGTGAGGGGTATGGATTTAGTCAGCATGATTGAATGCTAACGGATGACCCAGGCAGTAGGGAGTCTTCCAGCTTCTTCACCTTTCTTACCACACAGTTGTCCCTGAACAACTAGCTCTTACTTGTGAGGCATGGAGATGGGTTTTCTTATTAAAATAAAGTACAAATTAATTTAGAAGGAGATCTAAAAAGGGATGTTATCAATAAAGAAAATATTATTATAGAATTGTAGTGGAGGATAAAGCCTTATTTTTAGTCACTGCCATATGCCTCTTATTCTTTTTTTTTTAAATGCCACTACATTTCTTCTTCTTCTTCTTCTTCTTCTTCTTCTTCTTCTTCTTCTTCTTCTTCTTCTTCTTCTTCTTCTTTTGGTGAGTAAGATTGGCCCTGAGATAACATGTGTTGCCAATCCTTGTCTTTTTGCTTAAGGAAGATTGTCACTGAGCTAACATCTATGCCAATCTTCCTCTATTTGTATATGGGATGCTGTCTCAGCATGGCTTGATGAGTGATACATAGGCGCACACCCAGGATCCAAACCCCTGAACCCTGGGCTGGCAAAGCAGAGTGGGCGAACTTAATCACTATGGCACCAGGCCAGCCCCTCTCATTCCATCTTGACCCATCTCTGGAAATGTACATAGGAGCAAAAGGCAGACAAGAGAGGTTACACATAAATTTCCTTATAGAAACTTCTGTTAAAATTTTAGTATCAAATAAGAGAATAGATAACACCAAGAGAAAACTGAGAAACTGTCAGAGTGCAAAGTGGGCGACTGCTATGTCTTAATTGATCGTGAGATAGCCTTTTCCATTCCGTGAAGACAACCTAAGTTCTTAACTTGGAGATAGAGGCATCTACGAGGAAATTTGTTGACTTCAAGTCTTTCATTGACGTCATCTCCATCCCTTTATTTTCTCTTCCATATTTTTTAACTAATAGGAGCCTTTAAATGCCAAATGAAATACCTGCCAGAAAATCCTAACAGTCTTCTCCATTCTGCCCAGGGAGGTGTAGTTCCAATGGTTTTGCCTGGAAAGGTTGCCTTTGCTTAGACTAGGCTCTATATCTCGTACCCAACAAGGAGTGACGACATGGTGAACAAAGACAGGTGGATACAGGAAAGCCAGAAAATTTCTTAGTTAATTTTTAGTCAGAATATTAGCTTGACTTCACTATTTTATTTTACATGTAGATTCCCAAAGAATTAGTTGTAGTCAAATTCAAATGCAAGTACAATGCCACGTCATTTAGAGTACAGACGATCTTAGATTCCATGTAATAATGGATTATTACCTCCCTTTGTGAAAGTAGAAAATTAGGAGCTTTCAATCCCTGTACCTATGGCATATTATTTGATTTATATATCTGATTCATATAAATTTGACTTTGAAATGTGTCTGCCACAAGAAGGGTCTACATATAGGATTCAGGTCAAAATAAAGTAAAAGTAAGTCCTAGCTTCTCAAGTGAATTAAGTTAGAAACTCTCAGAACAACAGGATGAAAGAAAGATAATGAAGTTTGGGTAATCGAATTAATGAGGAGGGACCTCCTCCCCATTTGACCTCTCTTGGAACACTCTCTCCTTTGGCATCTGTGATACCACCTCTTGTATGCTTATTCGCAGTAAACTTTACTGGCTCATTCTGTCTTCCTTGGGTCTCTTCAAGGCTTTATCCCAGCCCCTCTTCCCTCTTGCTCTGTTTTAATGGCCGTCCACGTGAGGTCTCTGAATCGGCAGCATCAGCATAAACTGACACCTGCTAAAAAGGCAAACTTCAGGCCTCACTCCCAAATCTCAAGTTCTATTTACTAAATCAGAAACTCTGGAGGTAGGACTCAGCAACAACATATGCTTTAGCAAACCCTCCAGAAGATTCTGAATGCACACTCAAGTTTGAGAATCTCTGCTCTCTTCTGAGGCTTTCTGACCCATGAAAAGGGGCTTCAGGTGCGATGTATGTACTGTGAGAGACCATAGTTTCCAAAGATGGCCACCAACATATCTCCTGTCTCATAAGCCCTTTTAGAACCTTGCAACCATCGGGTGGAATCCGATTACCCTCCTCTTGAATCTGGGCAGAATTGTGACTTTTGTAACCAGTAGTGTGCAGTGGGATTCAGTCTGAATAACTTCCAGGGATAAGCCATAAAAGGCGACGTCCTCTATCTTGTTTACTAGAACATCCACGCTTGAGGTCTTGAGCCACCAAATAAGAAGACTGACTGCCCTGAGGTTGCCATGCTGTACGGAAGGCAGCCACATAGAAAGGCTGTCTGCTCTAGCTGCTGTCCTAGACTTTGAACCCTTCCTGCTCAGGAGCCAGACATGTAAGTGCATGAGCTGTGACATGATTCTAGCTCCCATTTCTCTAGTCACCATCCTGCCTTCAAGTCTCCCCAGCTGTGGCCTGTACCTCATAGAACAGAGGCAAGCCATCTCTGCTGTACCCTTTCTATATTCTGGACTCAGAGAATCCATGAGCATAATAGAATGATTCTTCCTTTCCCACTAAGTTTTGGGTGGTTTGTTACATAGTGAAACTGGAATGCCCAGTGACATTCAAATTTGTATTTCCATTTCAAACTTCTATTTGAGGTCCAGACATGAAGCTCTAATTGCCTACCTGACAACTCCACTGGGAAGTGCACAGGCATCTCAGACTCCAGAAAAACAAAAACAAAACAAGGATTAGTTAAAAAAGAAGAAAAAAGGTATTATTAATAAATCTAGAGGCTTGTTCTTTGGGGAAAAATCTATAAAGTATGAATCTCTAGCAAACTGAACTTTTATCAAAGAAGAAAACAAAAACTCATAAAATGAGAAAGTTTAAATAGCCATCAAAAGAGAAGAAAACTCAAAATAAAATGAGACTTCTTAGTACCACTGTACATAAATAAATTTGAAAATCTATATGAAATGTTTAACTTTCTGGAAAAATACAATTTATCAAAATTTACTCTAATAGAGATAGAAATTTTCTCCTAACAAATTTTCATGTAGGAGTTAGAGAAAGTTGTAAAAGAGTTCTCTACAAAAAAATTAACCTGATGACCCAGTGGCTTAATGTGAAATGCTCTCGAACCTAAAAAGACTGGGTATTCTTAAGCATATTTCACCATTCCAGAACATTGCAAAGTAAGAAAAATCTCCAAATTGTTTTATGAAACAAGTTTACATTGATACCAAAACTAGCAAAAAATGTACAAAATACTGTAGCACAATCTCACCTATGAATATCAACACAAAAACTTAAACAAATTAGCAGGAGAATCCAGCATTCTTATAAAAATAACATATATCATATCATGACCAAGTGGAGTTAATTATATTAACAACTCTTATAGGAAAAAGCATGCTATGAGGTCCATAGATAAAAAGACCTTGTGTCAAAACTCAACTCTCACTCATAGTAAAAAACACTCAAAATAGAAATTGATAGATATTTCCTTAATATTATATATATATAATATGTATATAAATCACATCTACTTTGCTGAAACCTTCTCTGTGGGGCTTCTCCCTTGCTTTTGTATGAAATCAGAATCTTTAACATGGTGTTATGGACTGAATATTTGTGTCTTCCCCAAATTCAGATCTTGAAATCCTAACCCTCAATGTGATGGTATTAGAAGGTGGAACTTTTGGGAGGTAATTAGGTCATGAGGGTGGAGCCCTCATGAATGAGCTTATTGCCCGTATAAGAAGAGACACAGAGCTCTCTCTCTGTCTCTGTTCTCAGCCATGTAAGAACACAGCAAGAAGATGGCCATCTGCAAACCAGGAAGTGGGTCCTCCCCAGCACTGAATCTGCCGGTACCTTGATCTTGGACTTCCTCGCCTTCAAAACTGTGAGAAATAAATATTTGTTGCTTAAACCTCTCAGTCCATGGTAATTTGTTATAGCAGCCTGAGCTGACTAAGACAATGGCCTACATATTCATGAGTAATCTGGAGTTGACTACCTCTCTAGCTTTCTCTCTTGTCATTCGCCTCCTCGTTTTCTGAATTCTAGCCATAATAGATGTATTAGTTTCTAGAACTCATCATATTTTCTTGAACCTCAAGGTGTTTGCTGTTGTCTGTTCCTGGAATGCTCTCACCTCCATTCTGTTGATCAGTTTGTATATATTCCTCAGATTTTAGCTCCAATGTCACTTTCCCAGGAATTCCTTCCCTGACTCCCATGACTAGATTGCTCTCCTCTGCCCCCATCATTACGCACTACACTAGCACCATATAATTTCCTTTGTAGCACATATGGCAGGACGTAATTTATTTGTTCAGTGTTAGCTGAGTTCTATGAGAAGGAAGCAAGTCTGGGTATTCCTCACCATAACCTCAATGCTAGTGCAGTGCCCAACACAGAGTAGTGCTCTGAAATATTTGTGGAATGAACGACTTAATGAATTCCTAGGGAAACTGAGACAGTCATAATGTAGTCCAAAACATATCGGACTTAGAGAGAGATTTGAGTTCCTTCTCCACTGTATCCTAGCTGTGGATCTTCATTCTCAGAATCTTATTTTTTCTCCATTTGTACATGATACATCACAAGATGGTCTTGAACAGTAAAGGAATAAAATATGTTTAAGCCATTATCAAAATTTAGAGCAACATACAAAAGAAAGATGCTACTGTTCTTAACAACTTCAAAATGTTCTTAATATCACACAAGTACTTCTTAGCATTATAGAACCAGGTGACATTTATATATATTAATGACTACACAATAGAAAGGTTAGAAGTATCTAGGCATTTCAGAGAGAAGTAGTGAAAACACCATAGGCTCCTCCCCTGTCTGAACCTGAGCTCTGCTGTTCAGAGACTCAGTGACTTCTGGATTCCAGGTTGGGCCCCTAAGCCTTGTGAGCCTCACTGTAGAAAGGAGAGCAATAGATACCTCATGGAAAGAGTGGAAGCTTAGCACAAGGTAGACAACAAGGAGAGTTCCTTTTCCGTTCACACGTTAATACTGTGTGTGTGTGTGTGTGTGTGTGTGATGTAAAAGTCAAGGATCATTGATTTTTCTAGGCTGGGTTTAATTGTGGTATTTTAAATACAAGAAAAAAGGAACAAACTTCAAGATTTAAGAGATGCTAAGAGGTTCAAGATCTAAGATCTTTTCTACAGGATATTTATTTTCTACCACAAATAACAACTAATTACATTGTCTACATTGGCTTAAGCCCTCTGCTTATACGCTTCTTCTCTCTTTGTTTAGAGAGAAAAAAATGTCCTGGCAGAGCTTACCTCTACACCACCCACACCTTTTTCCTTTACCCTAGTGTCTGTTTAAAAGGAGAGGTTGTTTTGGTGCCTTTTAAAAAGCTATTTTGAGCAGAAATTGTTCTCAGTATTGCGAGTTAATCGTGAATCCACTACCACATTTGATGTGGGTTTAATTGATAGGTTCAATCTCTGTTTTGTAGTAGCAACTTCAGACAATAGGTCTCTTTAGAGAGAAACTCCTCAAAGGAACTTTGTAAATATTGCAGTACTACTGGTGGCAATTTATGAATTTATCTTTGGGGAAGATCACACACAGATCTCAAGCTGACATACCTAACTACAACCACACATGCTAATTCTACATATTTCTCATTAAAAAAATTATTAATTGTAAAAGGGAGTGATGGAGGTCATGTCAGATCCATAAAGGAGAATTTGATCAAGAGTCTTCCAGAAAAATAACATAATACTTTGATATCAGTATTCACTGAAACACTCCCAGATATGCTCATTGAAATCCACTGCAATATGCTAGACTGATTTTGGGGTCTAACACATTCCTTTCTTTAAAAAATCTCACAAGTATTCCCCTGCTCTCCCTACAAAACTAGAACACATGCCTCTTGAGGAGCGCTAGACCAATCTCTAAATTCCTGCCATCAAAACAGACAGGGTTGCTGCATTGGCTCTCGTGGCCTGTCTACCATGTCCTTGCCCAGACCCGAAGTGGGGTAGTAATTTCTGCCAGTTCACCTGCAGGCCACAACAGGAGGAAAAGGGATAGTTGGTGGGCGAGCCAGGCCAGGCCTTATAGGTGCCTCTCTGCTTAAAATTTGGTGAAAGTGACCCCTTGGACTTGGCTGGGATTATCTTTTCACTTTGTTCTGCTATTGAACAAGCAAATACACAGTGCAAATAATATGCATGAAATTACAGATGCAAGGGGACCCTTTCCTCAGGGTCTCCCTTGTCTTGTGAGGAGGATTGCTGGACCTTCTGTGGCCTCAGGAGACGGCATGGAATAAGGAGCCCACCTCATCAAAAGAGCTCAGATTCATTTAAAATAGTTTTAAGGTGAAGCAGGACGTGGTCAAGTGATCTACACTGCCTCGCCTCACCTGGTCTCAACATCTGTGTTCTGGGTTCATTACCTCCAGTCTTGCCGCAGACAGGAACTTCTGCAACGGATTTTTTTCCGCATCATGAGCCCTATTTGAAGTTTCAGTGCAGCAAGTCTAGCCACGGCAGTAACGCAGGGAGATAGAATATTCTGTGTATAACGAGTGAGGTAAACGTCCAAAGAGGAGAAGGTTCTTGGGTTATTAATCTGCAATCTATTACATGTGATAAAAGGGCCATTGAGAAAGCCACTCTCCATCAGCCTTCAAGAAATGGTGGAATAAATATAGAAAACATACAATTTCAGGGCATGTGTACTCCGACTGGAAGGAGGGGGCAGGGTAACATAGTCGACTGAGACTCAGTTACTCTGCCCATCCATGGCCCTTCCAGAACAGCACGAGATAATTGTCCCATTTAAGTGGCTACTTGGTTAGGACTACAACTGAATATTAATGTTTTCTTTATTCAAAAAGTCTCCGGCGCTCATCAACCAGTGGCATCTTGCTTTTCCTTTTCATAAGCTCCCTTTTGACTACAAGTGTGTACAACGTTTATTAATTCATCTACTCTATTCAGTCACATTTAAAGCCAGCGTATCCTGTCCCCCTTTCCTTTTAAATGAGAAGAAACTAAAACTGAAAAGAAATCTTTCATCTCTCTCCCTTTCCCTCGACTGTGAGAGCTAGGCTTCAACTAGCTTTTCTGCCACTCGTAACTTCTCGTGGAGTTGTTGAGTAGGTTTTCTTACAAAGCAAGGCAATGTATTTTGCTTTTAGGGAATAAAGAAAGATCTTTTAAAATACCTTTCATCCTCAAGTAGATTTCCATTAGCACAGTGGTCAGTTTCATTACATGGTATGAATACCTCCATTATGTGCTAGAAGCTCTCGTTCTTTTTTCAAAAATATGTTGAAAAATAATTTGATGTCAATTTCCATGGTGATAGAAAAGAACACCACTTAGAACCATAACAAGTACATTCGTCTGAATTATTGTGAAACACTGAGTTGGTCTCTTTGTGTCAAGAGTTCTCTGGTTTTTGTTATTATTGTTTCATCACCTGAGAAGGAAAAAGGCTTTTTTACCAAATGTAGGGCAATTATTGAATCTCATCCTTTTTTATATCTTGCTGGTCAATCATTCTTTTTCATGAGCTAATGCTTTAAAAGAAGCATCCTAATTCTGCTTTTTGTGAAGATTTTAATAATGAAACACTTTCTAGGTGCAAAGGGTTTTATATAATGCATCAATCAATATCTAAAATTCCCTTTGTATTGCCAAATGTCACCATATAATCTTTTTTATTGTTTCAGAGGCAGGGAAACTGTTAGATAAGTACTACTGATGCACCTTCTCTGTCTTCTGTTTCTTGCACTGTTTGTACCTACTTGGTATCACATGTGAAAAATGAACTGTATTGGTGCAGGGCATTGTGAGGGATGTAATTAACCTGGGTGGCCTGTTCTGGGTTCCAGAATCAGGCAAACAATTGTCAGATAGGGGCCACCCAGTCCGGATAGTTTCTACATCACATTGAAAAGAATGTAGAGAGTCAGAACTACAAAAAAAGAGACATACAATTAGTTGATCACTAATGAGCTCACACTCTGGGATTGCTGTATATTTTACCTTATTGAATACAACACACTCAAATAATATACCTCAATCAGTCAAATTAAATCCCAATTACTCAACACAAAAGAACTCAGGAAGACCTTGAATCCCGTAGTCAGATGTTTCTAGGGCCTTTGTCTCCATCCTATTCCTGTTCAGGTCCTCTGCTTTCATTATTCAGTTGCTATGTTCTTCCTGCCTACATTCCATACCAGTCTCTATTAAAATGGCTTCTTGCTTATGTCTGGACTTTTAATGCTATTTGCAGAAATTCATTAATCTCCCTTCCTGCAAGGATCTGTTTCTTACCTATGCGTCTGTGGAGTTTCCACTTTGCGCTATACTTCCTTAAATATTGCCAGCCTTTAGTTACTGAGAAAGTTCTAGAGATGGCTTTCTCTCTGCTTGCCAGCAGCTCTTTCACAGCTTAACTGTAGTTTTAGAAGGTATTTCTTTGTCTTTAAATTTTCTCCAAGTTGGGCATGATTTAGAAATGATTGTAAAATCAAGGAGGGATTATGTTCTTGTGGTCACCTCTGGCTCCGGGAGTTACTTCAACTTAATTAACCCAGGTAATGGATCATTTTGCTGTCATGAGCATGCTGCTCTTGCTCCTTGTTACGATACGTGAATTGTGGGTAGAGTTGGACCCTTCTTTGATTTATACTGAGAGAGAGCGAGAGAGAATATAGCACACTTTGCTAAAGACTTGGAAGATGGAAGAAGTTTGCTTTGCAGAAATTTAAAAGCTTGAAATCGTGTATTAAATATTCCTCTTAGAAGGTCTTTTAACTACCTTAGCACTTTAGATTTTTCCCTAACGGCTCATCATTTATTCTCTATTTGTTTCTTTCTTCCTCTTCCCTCTCATCTCTCTTCTTCAATTTCTCTAGAGTACCCCCCCACCTAA